CGCCAATTGGCAGAAGAAGCGGCCCCCGCCCGCAAGAGCCACATCGTTGTTGGAAATAGAAGCCCAGAGAGAGGTAGGTGTGGGAAGGCCTGCAGTGCAGGCTGGCCAGGCGGGTGACCGCAGCCTCCCCCTTGGTGAAATAATTCTGACGAATTTGGGGGCTCATGGTTCAGCAAAATAAGGAGTTAAGGTAGAAAAAAACCGATGCGTTGGCTGGTCCCAGAGGTGGTTGTGAAGGCGGTGACTGGGTATGACGCAGGAGAGAGGCTGGAGGCTGGGAGAAGGGGTGTCCCTGGGTCTGTTCCTTCCAAGCACTGTTGAAACAAGAGACAGATCCAGGACTGCCAAGGGCACTGCCTGAGCTGGATCTTAAAGCAAGTGGTGGTTGTGACTGGCAGAAGAAAAAGGTCTGAGGTGTAAACTTTTGGAGCTTGAACTTCTTACTTGACCAGACTGTCGGTGAAGTAATTTACTCTTGATAACGTGCCTCTCGTTGACTGTGACACCTGCCAATCCTGGAGATGAGTTGTCATTTGATTGTTAAATGTATCGAAATCACCTGAGGAGACTTGTTGGCAGAGGCATACAATACAGATTCCTTGTAATATTAGTTTATGTGCTTTTAAAGCTTCTTTTGCGTAAACTGAATAGATCAGAGAAGAGTTCGCTAAGAAATCGCCACATGAGCACAATAGATTGTTAAAATCACATACAAGTTCTTTAAGTTCATAATGAAATCGGCAATTAGCTCTTGTTGACAACCACAGCTTATATAAACCAGCGGTCCATGGATCTCAGCAGAAAGTCAAAAGATGACAAGCACAATAGTCTGGGGAAAGAATCAGAGGCTGAGTTGGATCAAAATCTAGTTTTATTTAAGCTTCTGCATGCTGGAAAATGGCCACTTCACTAATTTACATAAACTTTAGAGAAGCTTGGTGAACAATGAGAATATATGTAAGAAATAATATTAGCAACTTTTTCAAAAAAACACTTTACAGCCTGGCTGGCATGGCTCAGTGGTTGAGCATTGACCAATGAACCAAGAGGTCAAGGTTCAGTTCCTGGTCAGGGCACATACCCACGTTGCAGGCTTGATCTCCAGTTGGGGGCGTGCAGGAGGCAGCTGATTGATGATTCTCTCTCATCATTGATGTTTCTCTCTCTCTCTCTCTCTATGAAATCAATAAAAATATATTTAAAAAAGAACACTTCACATGAGGTGGTAGTCAGAATAAAGACAACCTAACTACACCCCGCCACACACACACAAATTCATGTCTATGGAAACTATGAACATGTAATGTGTCCCCTTGCCTGGCAAAAAAGGCTTTGAAGGTGTGCTTAAGTTAAGGAATTTGATGCAGCAGTATTGTCCAGGAATATCTGTGTAGGCTCAATGTAATCCACAAGGTCCTTATAAGAGAGAAGCAGTTTTCCAAACTGGAAAGAAAGGAGTAAAATTGTCACTATTTGCAGATGACATGATGTTATATATAGAGAGAAAGCTCTAAATAGTCCAACCAAAAATCTATGATAATTAATAAATGAATTCAGTAAAATTACAGAATACAAAATTATTATTCAGAAATCTGTTGCATTTCTATACACTAATAATGAACTATAAGAAAAATAAAAATTAATAAAACAATCCCATTAGCAATTGCATCAAAAAGAATAAAGTACCTAGAAATAAATTTAACCAAGGATGTAAAACATCTATACTCCAAAATCTGTAAGTTATTGATGAAAATAATTGAAGACACAAATAAATGAAAAGATATACTGTGCTCACAGATTGGAAGAATTAATATTAAAACTTCATACTACCCAAAGCAATCTATAGACTCAATTCAATCCCTATCAAAATGCCAAACCATTTTTCACAGAACTAGAACAAAAAATCCTAAAATATATCTGAAACCAGGAAAGACCCTGAATAGCCAAAACAATCTTGAGAAAGAAGACTAAAATTAGAGGTATCACATTTCCTGATTTCAAACTATACTACAAAACTAAAGTAATTAAAACAGGATAGTACTATCATGTGAAGAATGGCTACAGTGTTTGGACAGGTTCAAGCCTCGGACTAATGAGAGGGCACAGTCCTTTCATGGCCATGTGCAAGTCCCAGCTTGGAGGGCAGAGCCCTCCCAGCACAATTAGAGTCAACAGCTATAGTTGTACGCTTGAACCTATGGTCTGAACACGTGGCCCCATGTGCCTGAGTGATGTGGGCTTGATAGAGTTCAGGTGCATGTAATTGAGTAGGACCGAAACCCACAAGAATGCTGTAAACATCTTGACCACGCCCTTACTTTGCCTCGTGGAATCTGCTATAAAATAAAGACACGGCTTGTAGTTCGTGGTGCTGTCGCTAGCTCTCCATCAGAGAGGCTCTCCATCAGAGAGGACAGCATCCCAACTAGACCCAGCTTTTTCTCTTGTCTCTTGTCTTTTCTCAATCCTTCACTGCCCCCTCTCAGGGTCACCGAACCTGGCTGAGCTGGCACGGCACATAAGGCACCCAACCTGGTGCTGAGTATGCCATGGCTGTGCTGACTCGCCACACTATCACAAAAAAACAAACATAGATCAACGGATTGGAATAGAGAGCCTAGAGATAAACCCAAGCCTAGATGGTGAACTAATCTATGACAAAGGAGGCAAGAATATACAATGAGAAAAGACAGTATCTTCAATAAATGGTGTAAAGGAAACTGGGAAGATAACATGTAAAAAAATGTAACGACCACTTTCTTATTCCATATAAAAATAAACTCAAAATGAATTAAAGACTTGAATGTAACGTCTGAAACGGTTAAACCCCTCAAAGAAAACATAGGCAGTAAACTCTTTGACATTGGCCTGAGCAGTATTTTTTTGGATTTGTCTCCTTGGGCAAAGGCAATGTTAGCAAAAATAAACACATAGGACTATATCAACTTAAAAGCTTTTGCACAGGTAAGAAAACCATCAACAAGACGAAAAGGCAACCTACTGAATGGAAGAAGATGTTTGCAAGTGACATTTGTAAGAGTTTAATAGACAAAATATATAAGGAATACATACAACTCAACATCAGAAACACAATCCAATTTAAAAATGGACAGGGGACCTGAATAGACATCACCAATCATCAGGGAAATACAAATCAAAACCACAGTAGGAGATTACTTCTTACCTGTCAGAATAGCTATTATCAAAAGGACAACAAATAGGAAGTGCTGGAGAGGATGTGGAGAAAAGGAAACCCTCGTTCACCATTGTGGTTGTAAACTAGTGCAGCCAATATAGAAAACAGTATGGAGAGTCTTCAAAAAATTCAAAATAGAACCACCACAGGTCCCAGCAATTCCACTTCTGAGTATTCAAAGAAAAAAATAAAACTGGAAAAGATATTTGCATCCCTATGTTCATTGCAGCATTGTTTACAATAGCCAAGATAGGCAAGTAATCTAGGTGTCCATCAATTGATGAATGGATAAAGAAAATGTGGTACTGCCCTAGCTGGGTTGGCTCAGTGGATAGAGCATTGGCCTGCGGATTGAAGGGTCCCAGGTTCTATGTAAGTCAAGGGCACAAGCCTGGGTTGTGGGCTCAATCCCCAGTGGTGGTGGTGGTGGTGGGGGGAGGGGGGCGTGCAGGGAGCAGCTGATCAATGATTCCCTCTCATCATTGATGTTTCTATCTCTCTCCCTCTCCCTTCTTCTCTGAAATCAATTAAAAAAATGTTAAAAAAAAGAAACTGTGGTATATATACAGGGTAGGACAAATGTAGGTTTACAATTGTAATGACATGAAATAGAGTTTATTCTGGTATTATTATGTATTAATTATTGTATTATATTCCATATGAATAACTGTAAACTTACTTTTTGCTACTCCCTGAATACATTGGAATATTACTCAACCATAAAAAAATAAAATCTTAACATTTACAACAACATGGATGGATCTAGAGGGTATTATGTCACGTAACAGAAGTCAGGCAGACAATGACAAATACATAATATTTTGTTTATATGTGGAATCTAAAAAGCAAAACAAATAAACAAAATTAAACAAAAAAATCATTCAGAGAAAAACTGATGGTCACCAGAAGGGAGGGTGGTGATGGGAATGAGTGGAAAAGAGAATGCGATTAAGAAGTACAAACATAAAGTTATAAAATAAGTCACGAGGCTGTAACATACAGCATAGGGGATACAATCAACAATATCATAATATCTATGTATGATGACAGATGGTTACTAGACTTATGGTGAGCACTCCATAAGGTATATAAATGTTGAATCACTATGTTGTCCTGAAACTAATATAATATTGTATGTTAACTATAATTAAAAAGTATATTTGTTTAGAATAAAGAGACAGGCAATAGAGAATGGATAAAAGATGTAGGGATGGAAGCAGAGAACACAGTGCAGAGAAAAATGCTACACTGCCAGCTTTGAAATTGATTTCAGACTTCTGACCTCCAGAATCATAAGATAATAAATTTGTGTACCTTTAAGCCACTGTTTGTAATATTTTTTTTTACAACAGCAATAGGAAGCTAGTACACATGGGTTATCTCATTTTTATACCCTTATAATAACCTGGTTATTATTTAACAGGAAAGGAGTGAAAGGGGGGACCAAATACTATAGACATGCCCTTAAGCTACATTTTACACTCCAAGTCTGTTCCCCACTGGTTGATGGGGGAATGGACTGGACAAAGACAGTTTAAACACATGCCCAGTAAAGTCTGAGTAACATGGGAGGCTGCCTGTCAGTCGCACCTGGAAACAGGTCATTGGCCAAAATGGGCGTGGCCATTGCAAGCCTGCAAAATTTAAATACATAAACTTCCAAACAAAGGAAGTTTTCCCTTCCTCTCTCTTGGCTCTCTCTCACCTGCCAGCCCTCTTGGGGCTCAGGGCCTTGCTGGGCTCCGCACAGGGACTAATGGACTTTAATCTGGCTTGAATGCTGAACCACACCCTGTTGCAACAGGAAACGGAAACTCTGAACATTGGCCCTGTTTCTGGCTTTGCTGAACTTCCAGCGGCCCCTCTTCCAGGACTGGCTGAAGAGGCAGGGGACTTTGGAACCCAAGAAATGTAACTTGACACAAATAAAGCCTCCTTCCACATTCCATCCCCCTCTGTGAGTCTTAGAAAATCCATTTTCTGAAGATATCACAAGACCCTCATTCCCACTGGTATTTGGGAATTCTGGCCCTTTAATTCCTCAGGCATCAATTTGATCCTTAAAGCAATTATACCCATTTTATACGCTCAACTAAAAAATGAGAAAACTGCTGGATGCTCAAATAGATTAAGCAAATTGCTTACGTAGGTGATGGAGCTGAAGTGCAAACCTAGGCACTCTGACTTCAGAGTTTGCAGTGTTATATGCTGTTTCAAAACATGAATGTTGAATGGCAACAATATATTTAATTTCCACATAATTGTACTTTGTGACAGAAAATGTATAAACATTTTAAAATTCTTCTTGCAATATTTGTATTTGCAATGAACATAGTTCTTAACATTCTGTTACAATTCCTTTGTTATAAATGCTAGCAATCACAGTCTAGTCTGACGTATTTTTTAGTCAGAGGAACACATGAACCAGAAGATAGCCTTAATCAGTAGTCATCTTATAGATTATCAGCATTTGCAATTGGTTTACTTCTTGTCATAACTGTCATCATACCGTCTTCTATACATCATAAGCTATTGAAGGGGCTGAGACTATATTTCCTCCCATCCACTTGCTTTAATCTTTTATGAACAAATCAGTTGGTCAATAATTCTGGGGATCGTTGACTCCTCAGAATTCAAACTTTGGTGTCATTGGTTGATGCATAGACTGTCACTTTAATTTCCTGGAAGTCAAGGACTGTATCTTGCTTACCATTGTGTCTTCTCTCACAGAACAGTTTCCTTGACATAGTTTTTCACTGAATGATACTTGAGGAATGAATAAACACATGGACAAATGAATGAAAAGACTTCTTAAGGTGAAGTGGCTTTATAATCTGCCAGAAAAAGGTGTAGAATTCTGAACTAATGGCAGAACAACCCCTGGACAGAGGGTTTACGAATACTAGAACAGAGTAAGAAATCTTCACTCCTATGGCCATTTGAAGTTCAAAAGTATCGGATGCAAGATATTGAAGCCCATTTTTTTCCTTCCATTTCTAATTATTTTGGTTTATAGCTAAAATGTTGTTCAAGAATGCAGACTTATTAGGTTTGTTTGTGTTTGTTTTTTCTTCCTGTTGACGAAGTATTTTCTTTTGTGCATAGCAAACAGATGTCTACATCCCTTACTTACAGCCAGAGATAGTGAAGGTTTATATCCACAACTCATTGTGTCACACTCAGGATTCAGTTCCTATTGCAGCCATGAGAGCTGTGAGTCAAAATTCAAGGCATTTTGGATCAAGTGAGATTGAACCCCAAGATAGTTTGTGGCTCTTTAAGTCATCTTAGATCTGTGTGTGAGATCCCTGCCCCCCTTTCTAGATAGTTTCAAGAAGGGAAAGCTAAATTCATACCTCTGATCCAAAACGTTGTCTTTCAATTATAAAATACTTCAGTAAACAAATCATGATCAGGTGGATGGTCCTGGATCCAATTACTGGTTCTTTATAGCCTTAGTTCAGGGTGGTTTGACTAAGATATCCCTCCTGCCAGCCTTTCCCACACAACCTGATTTTATTTACCTAATATTCACTGTTTGCCTCAGAGTACTGGGTATGTTCTAGGTCAGTGATGGCAAACCTATGACACGCGTGTCAGAGGTGACACACGAACTCATTTTTTTGGTTGATTTTTCTTTGTTAAATGGCATTTAAATATATAAAATATCAAAAATATAAATCTTTGTTTTATTATGGTTGCAAATATCAAAAAATTTCTATATGTGACACGGCGCCAGGGTTAAGTTAGGGTTTTTCAAAATGCTGACACGCCGAGCTCAAAAGGTTCGCCATCACTGTTCCAGGTACTGCTCATACAGCAGGGCACAAAGTAGGCAAAAATCTCTGCCCTGTATTTATATTCTGGCAGAGGGAGAAGGATGATAAACAAATAAGTAAAATAGATAGATGGCCTAGAAAGAACAGCAGCCATCATTACAATCAATACTGTAATATCTGAAAAATGTCATAAAAGAGAGACTTTCATTGTATTTCACTTTTGAAACTAAGGGCTAGTTTCAACATAGTAATGTTACCAAAGTAAAATTTAGACTCAATACATTAGAAAAGAGTGTATAATTAATAGATCAGTTTTTTTCTTTAAAACCATGTGTATTTATATTTCATGAAAACAATGCATTACTATCAGGGTTTCCATTTTTACTTTGGCTGCTAGGAAACTCAGAGCTAAGTTTGTAATCACACTTAGTAATTGTGCATGACTTACTGGTCTGCACTGAATATGATAAATTTCCAGTGGTCTTATGTTAGTGTTCTACCCTGCTTTCCCTTTCATCTTGCTTTCTTTACTTGTTTATATTTTAATTAGAAGCCCGGTGCATGAAATTCATGCATGGGTAGGGTCCCTAGGCCTGGCCAGCGATCAGGGCTGATTAGGGCCTTCCAGCTGCTGGCCCGGGCCTCCCTTCCCCCACTGCTGGCTGCCGGCCGCCGACCGGGGCCTTCCTTCATTCCGCGCCGCCCCCTGATGATCAGCACACATCATAGCAAGTGATCCAACTCCTGGTCTCCTGGTTGAACTCCTGAGGGGACACTTTGCATATTAGCCTTTTCTATATATAGATGTATTGGCTTTAGTTTTCTAAACCATGATTTAATTCTACCAACAAATAAACAAAACGAACAAAACTACCCTAGGAGAACAGGTACCTAAATTTTTGCAGATTCATAACATAGCTAAAGAGATTTAACCTCCTGCTTCTTAAATCTTTTTATGTGAAAAATTGCCAAGTCACAGAACGTGAGGGTGCCTTACCCAAGGGCACGCTCAAGTATGTGCTAATTAACCACTGGTCAGGGTGAAATAGGGAATGGGAGTGATTCCTACATTCTAAAAGGCTACTGGTGAAAATGTAATCTAAGGTTATTCACTCTAAGTCACAAAAATTTGAAATTCCTCTTTCTTCTGTGACATTCTGCCAGCTATCCTTGGACTGTGGTGAGAGAAAGAGATTAGGATGACCCACCAGGTCCTCCAGGTTCTTCACAAAACTGTCAAGAAAAATAACTCTTAGTACAGCATCTATAAATCCTTGCAAACTGACATGTTTGAGGAGACTGGGTAAGACATTAGAAATGCCTTTAAATCGCTGCAACCTATTCTTGCATTAGGAAGAAATTATGTGATTCAGATCCAAAGGTTTGATTTCTCAATGAAGAAAAATGACACCTGGGTTGGTTAAGTGACAAGACCCATCACAGAGCTATTTTGTCCAGTAGTAATACAACTGCTGATCAGTTTACTAAAGAGCCCAAGGGCAGATTAATTATTTAGCAGTGGAATAAATTGAAAAGTTGGTCCTAACTACTTCAATACAAATTGAAACACCAGACTCGGCAAAACTCTCAGCAATAATCACAGAGAATGCAAGCGAATTTGAAACTAGGTTTTGCAATTGGTCTATCATCTCTAGCTCCTTTTTATTCCTCTTAATCCTCAACCTCCATTCCCCGCACCCCAACTCACCCAATTACCACCCCTCTCCCACCCTCATGTGCCCATGTCATACTAAGCGATACCTTCCTATTAGGGCAATTCCTCTCTGCAGCTCTCCCTTCCTACTTTTCTCTCCCTTTCTTCTTATACTTAACTAGAGGCCTGGTGCATGAATTCGTGCATGGGTGGGGTTCAGCTGGCCCACCCCAATGGGAGCCCACTGGGCCGGGCCAGCGGGGAGGAGGGGCTGCGGGCAGTTGGCCAGCAATCCCTGCTCCAGATTGGAGTGTTGGGGGCAGATTGGGGGAGGGGCCATACCACTAATAGTAAGTGTGGGTACAGGGAGAATGACAGGTGGGAAAAAAAAAGAAAGAAAGGCAAACATGATCAGCACTACCGAGGTGCAAATAACCTGCTGTGCAAACACAGATGAAGAAGCAATTAATTTCTGTCATTTTCTAGTGAGGATGGGTGACAAATATCTTCCCTCTGCCTATTCCCCTTCCATCTGTTTCTCTCACTTCTAATGGGGACAATTTGGGACCTGGGTTGTCAGTTTGTGCTACTAAAATGTGAAATTGGAGAATGAAGTGTATTCTGATGTCAACCATGGAAGAAGCTGTATTTAACTTAATAGATATAGTCAGGGAGCTGTTTGGTGACCAGATCTGTATAGGGAATGAGTTCTCGCTTTAGGACCTGCAATAACAGTTGCTGTAGTCCTGTTTTTTCATTTCTCCCTCTCTCTCCAACTCCCTGGTTCCTCTCCAGGGCTTCCCAGTGATTTGCATCACTAGTACCTGTGCCAGACTCTTCCAGCTGCCACACACTTCAAGTACAGACCAATCTGTGGACCAGGACGGCCTGACATCACCCAGAGTGCGGTATGCCATTATTTTCTGTGTCTTATCAAACACTGAAACGTGCCTGAGAGGGGAGAGCAGACGGCATATCCGTCATTTGCACCTCAGTTGGAATTATTTTATCATATAATTTTTCTCTAAAAAGCCAGTAGAGATGAGCTACCTTAAGGACCCTAATTCACTCATTTATTTAGCTTCTGAGGTTAACTTATTACAAAAATAAGTATGACTTATCTGACCCGTATGCCTGTTGGGAAAAGAAACACATGATAGTTTAATAAATAATGATTGTATGGAGAAAGCACCAGCCGCTATCTTGGGAGTTGGATACCGGCTTCAGGGAGAGGACCACAGAACTGAGATAAATCTTGAAGTTTAAGTTAGAGCAGGCCAGCGCTAGGGAAAGAGGGGTAAATCATTAAAATTATGAATATTTTGAAGTGGAGAAGTTTTGGTTGAAGGCCAGGTTAGAGACTTTAGGCAGCCAGAAATACCATAAGACATTGTGGGTAGTGGAGGAGAGTTAAGATTCAGAGTTTGGGAGAAAATGCCAAAAGGAATAGGGGCAGATTACAAGACAGTCTGTGACTATTTT